AAACCAACTACAATTTAATGACATCTATATTCTCTTGACCTTAATCTGATAGAATTAGTTTTCTCAACTATAAAAAGTTTTTTTAAAACATATTAGTATTTTGTAGAAAGTTGTTTAGATCCAAAATATTCATTATTAGTTGCATACTTTCAAATTATCTCTGAATTTTCTAATAATTTTTTTAATGTATCAGATTACAAGTAAAGGTTTTTTCTTTAGAAAATATATTGTTTAATAATATAAAATATATATTATATCTTGTGGCATATTCATGAAGAGTTTGCTATACACCAATAGTATCTATATCATATTTTTTAAAATCTTTATTTGATAGTTTAAAAAGTAATCATATAGAGATCTTTTGTTATTAAAATTTTAATAAAAATTCTTGATCATAATTTCTATTGCCTTCACATTTATCAATATGCTTTAAAAAATTTTAATTGTAGGTTTAAAACTTGGTTATAAAGATAGCTAAATAGGTGCTTGAAAAGGTGTTATATATAATTGCGATAGAAAATATAATATAAATAAACTATAAACTGGTAATAGAATATAAAATTGTTTTGAATAAATTGGATGTTAAAAAAATTTAGCTGTTGTATTAAATTAGATTGTAATAGAGATATTGCTTGTAATGGTGCCAAAGTTAAAGGAATTTGTAATGGTGCCAATAGCAAAGTAGCTTGTAATAGTGCTGATATTGATGTAACTTGTAATAATGCTAAAGACAAAGATATTTGTAATAGTATTGAAGATAGAGTAGCATGTAATAGTATTAAAGATGAAGTAACATGTAATAATGCTAAAAGCAAAGATACTTGTAAGATGCTTATAATAATGATAGCAGTAAAGATTCTAGTAACAATTTCAAAGATAGTACTGAAGGTGGTACTAAAGATGGTATTAATATTTTGATCTATTTAACCGAAAGTTCAATCAGGACTGATTTGGGTAGACTTACGGGTATTCCCAGCCAATCGCTGATGTTTGTTAATATTGGGTAAAATAGGATTAACATATCCTATTTTACTTAATATAAGCAAATATCAGCGATTGGCTAGGAATACCCGTAAGTCTACTCAGATTAGCCCCAGTAAAACTTTCAGTTAATGGTTCAGAACACTAGATAGTATTAAAGATTATTTTTTATACTAATATTTATATTTAAATATTGGATGTGTAGATAGTTCAGTTGGTAATACCATTGCTTTATTTTTATATAAAAATCAAAATGTATATAAATTAATAAAGTTATTTTCTTGTGAATTTATAATGCTTGAAGAAAATATGTAATTAAAGTAGTAAAAGCTAATTCAAATAAAATGAATAAAAAAAACATCTGACAATAAAAAGAAGGGAATTGATATTTTCACACCCCTTTTTTGATAATTCCACACCCTCTGTTAATGTAGATCATTTTAAATTATTTACAATTTTTTAAAGCTTTGATCGAAGATATCTCAACACTCACCTAACCAAATTCAATGAATATTTTTTTATTTGAATTATATAGTTTTCTACAATTAAAATAAAAAACAATTCATCAAATTTGGTTAGGTAGGTGTTGAGCTATCTTTAATCAAAGTTTATGTAAAATTTTAAACAACTATCAAATAGAAACTGTGCTAAAAATTGTTTTGAAACTTTTGTTGAAGATATCTCAACACCCACCTAACCAAATTCGATTGACTTTTTTTTGTTTGAATTCTATAGTCTTCTACAATTAAAATAAAAAACTTTTATCAAATTTGGTTAAATAGATGTCGAGATATCTTTGATCAAAGTTTTTATAAAATTTTAAATATCTATCAAATAGAAGCTATGCCAAAAATTGTTTTTAAATTTTGATCAAAAATATCTCAACATCCATCTAACCAAATTTGATGAACTTTTTTGTTTGAATTATATTGTCTTCTACAATCAAAATAAAAAAAAGTTCATCAAATTTGGTTAGGTGAGTGTTGAGATATCTTCGATCAAAGTTTTTGTAAAATTTTAAACATCTATCAAACAGAAGCTACGTCAAAAATTGGTTTTAAACTTTGATCAAAGATATCTCAACATCCATCTAACCAAATTTAATGAATTTTTTTATTTTGATTGTAGAAGTCTATAGAATTCAAACAAAAAAAGGTTGATTGAATTTGGTTAGGTGAGTGTCAAGATATCTTTGATCAAAGTTTTAAAACAATTTTTGGCACAGCTTCTATTTGATAGACGTTTAAAATTTTACATAAACTTTGATCAAAGATATCTTAACACCCACCTAACCAAATTCGATGAATTTTTTTTTATTTTTATTGTAGAAGACTATAGAATTCAAACAAAAAAAGTTCATCAAATTTGGTTAGGTGGGTGTTGAGATATTTTTGATAAAAGTGTCAAAATAATTTTTGGCGCAGTTTTTATTTGATAGTCATTTAAAATTTTACATAAACTTTGATCAAAGATATCATAACACCTACCTAACCAAATTTGATAAATATTTTTTTATTTTGATTGTAGAAAACTATAAAATTCAAATAAAAAAATATTCATTGAATTTAGTTAGGTAGGTGTTGAGATATCTTCGATTAAAGTTTTAAAAAAATTATAAATAATTTAAAATGATTTATATTAACAGGGGGTGTGAAATTATCAAAAAAGGGGTGTGGAAATATCAATCCTCTAAAAAAAATTGTTTTTATAAATATCAATATATATATCAACAATTTTTTTAAATTTATTATTATTATATAAAATTTTTTTGCAATTTCAGATACCCAAATTGAAAGCATCATAAATATAGTTTTCTTTATCACTATCCTTATTTAAACAAGGCCAATTATAAAAAAGACAATGATTTTTTTTATAAATTTCTAAAACATTTTTTGCTATTAAGGATTCATTTGAAGATAAATTTGAAGCTATAGAAATAGAATTTTTATTTTTAAAATTCATAATAGTATCATTATTTAAATTTTTGTCTAACTCAAGATTCTAATTATATAGAATATATTATCATTATTATTATTTATATATTACATTATAAACTCACAAAAAAAATTATGATTATATTAATAAATATTACAAAAAAAACTATATTGTTATTTTTAGAAGTATATTTTCAGTAATCAGCTTGAAACTTTTTGAAATCATAGTTATCTACTAATTGAGTACCTGCTTCCATTGTCTTTTCAGGTTTAAATGTAACTGTGAAAGCTGTGTGGGTTGTAGGGGTTAATATTGCTTTATATTTTTTTAACTTCAAAGATAATCTTAATAATATATTATTGCAATAAGAATATAAAGAGAAATTAAAAGCTTCTTTTGAACTTAGAAAGTAATTATAAAGCTCTATTTTTGACATATGTATTCTACTTGTTCTTTTATCCAGTTTGACTTTAAAGATTCATATAAATACATATTTTATAGCTTCTGTTTGATTATCTTTGTGTAGCATATCAGATAAGTTGCAATTGCATCTTTGCTATTGCAAATCAATTCTACAATACAAACATTTATGATAGCTAAAACAAGTGATATTTTAGTTTTGTCTCTTGAGCATCAGCTATTAGAATGGTATGTGAAGAGATTAATTGATATCAATATATATAATGAGCAAATAAATTAACAAAAAATTAAAACAAATATATATATATTGTTTTTTATTGATTAATTGCATAATTATGATTTTATATTTAGAATTTTAATGATTATCCGCAACCATTATCACTAAAATCATATGTTCACATCTTTTTGCAAAGCGCTATAATTTTGGCATATTAGATTCAATATATAATTTAAGATTTTTTTTCAGCTGATTCGGATTTTAGAATAATAGATTCAATACTGCAATATGAAATTTAAGATCAGGTGACTAATATGTGAAATGAACATGTCGGTGAATTGTTTGTCAGTGAAATGATGCATCTATGAAATGAGTGTCGGTGAAATGAGGCGAACCCCAATTACCATAGTTTCCTATTTCCAAACTGGCGAAAAATGAAACCTAAACCTAAAGAATGAAAGTCGAAACCTTTTAGTTAAATTTTAAATCCTGACAAAACAGTAACACTCTGGTAAAACTCTAATAAAAGATATACAATGTTATTCAACAGCAAGTGCTGATTCATGATCTCCAAACTATTTAGAGCTATGCAAATAATGACAAACTTTTGTTTATGATATTAATGGTTAGTTATAGATTTGGTTCGCTCTGCTGAAAATAAATTATGCGATCGAGTTTTAAATATGTATTTATACATTTTATTAAATTATTTTGATGTTTTTAGGCATTTTCTGTAAAACATATTTCCCATATCAGTTAACCAACAGCGAGCCACAAATTCAAAGAAACATTGTTTATTTTTTAAAAAAAAAAATGCAAAAAAACCTTATCTATACTCTAAAAAAAGTTTTTTAAACTTAAATTTACTATATATTTTGACCCTAATCTAAACATTATCTTGGCATAAATAAACTTCAAAAAAGATACATTTTATAGGATATGTGACAAGGATATAGTAGCAATGCAAAGGCCATCGTAAGTTAGGTTTTGGCTTCGCAGTTGCAACAGCAGTGCAAGAACCACTTTGTTGAACCTAGCAGCATCTTTATCACTTCGTGAATGACTATATAAATGATTCAATTTGAAGCTACATAGATCTTTTCTCGACTAGCTGTCTCTGTATGCTTAAACATTATAGTTTGGTTAGAAATTATAAGTTGATTTCTTATAGTTATAGTAGATTCAATAAGTGAGTTACTTTGAAAATGTAATATTTTAGTTATAGGAGGTAGAGTCTGTAACGATAGTGAATAGATTCCCATATGCTTTTATCGTGTTTTAATTAAGTTGTTTGTCATCTGATTGGGCAATATAATTGCATCCTTGATAAATTGAATTGTCACCTGATTGGGCAATATAATTGCATTCTTGATAAATTGAATTTTAAGATTTGAGATTCTAATATTGTAATAATGCTGTACCGTTACGAATTGTAAAATCATTGGCATAAATAATCTTGGTATGCAACACTTTAAATTTATAGTAATCTTTATTAAGGAAAAAAAAACTAATTATAATTGGCAAAAAGACTGTGCATTCAGAATTTGCAGATTTAAACAATTCTGACGGAATATATCAAGTCGAAATGGTTAATTATTACTTAGGAATTGTGGTCAAAATAAATAAGTATAAAAAATTTATATTTATACTACTGTATCTAAAATTTTTAAAAAAGAAATTATTTAAGCAAATCTTGAATAGTAGTTAAACCCCGTTCCTGGTTTTGCTAGTACCTTGACATGGAGAAAAATATTATTATAGCTCACCTACGAAAAATTTTCTAGCGCATAATTATCGTTACAATTTTTAATATTTCCCAGTATCACCCTTAAAAAAGTACGAACACGTGCTGTATTTGCGGCGTACCCAAAAAAACTTCAAGCTCATTTAAGTTAGGGTTGGCGTTTGTATTGAGGTTAGGTGTTAGCAAGTTAGATAGTAAAATCGCACAAAGAAAACTTTTTGTTAGAACACTAAAGGTGGTTTCTTATGCTGATTTTAGAGTTGCAACTAGAGATGTGCGAATGCACTCTGCATTGCACATTATTGAGGTGTGCGGTATACTATGTAAATCAAACTATATGTAGTCATATAATAAAATTTATTAATGAATTTTTTTTAGATAGTGATCGATAGGTAGTAAATTTATAATAATTATTACGAATTTTTAAATAGATACATAGCCCTAATGGTTTGATAGTTTTGGATAAAATTTCGCAAAGACTAGTATTACGTTTCTACAAACAAAGCTATAGAACCTTTTCTTTTAATTAAATTTGAAAAAAACTGTTGTAATATACTATTTGTTTTTTTTTTTCATAAAAAAGAGTGGCAAGAAGAAAAAATTTAGTTTAGTTTTGTTTTTAAGGAAATGGTTCTATAGCTTTGTTTGTAGGGACGTAAGAATAGTCTTTGCAAAATTTTATCCAAAACTATCGAACCGTTAGGGCTGCGCATCTATTTAAAAATTCGTAATAATTATTATAAATTTACTACCTATCGATCACTGTCTACGTATAAAAAAATTCATTAATAAATTTTATTATATGACCACATATAGTTTTGATTTACGACATTATGCAATCATGGTGATCTACCAGCACGATTCACACCTAATCATTCTTATCTTTAGACAGAAGGTTACTATTTTATGGTATTTCAAAACTCATATTATTTAGCCTGCTTTATACAGGTAGGAAATGCTACATATCACTTAGTATTACATATGATATAAAATATAATATTTTATTAATTTTTGTTGCATTAAAATTATATAATTATACAGTATGTGTGCTGCAGAGCGAAAACCTGTAACTGACATAATAATAATGATTTACTATGATCAGTTACAGGTTTTTGCTCTGCAGCACTCATATAGTAAATTCTATGTGCACTTTTAAATGTTTACATTACGCGACATTATGTTTTGCATTAATGCGGAATGCCCATCTCTAGTTGCAACTGATTTTTGGCAAAACGAACATTTGTTTTGAATTTACTTGATCATGTTATATTACCCCTAATCTTGAAATATGATTGATATGATTGGTTTGCACCACAAAAATATCCCGTGTCCGTATATACATGTGTGCCTAAATTGCCCATCTTAATAAAAAAGCAATTACGGCATTTAGGCAGCCGAAATTAATTTTATATAGTACCGAAATTAATTTTTATATTTGCCGAAATTATTGCAGAAAATTTTTAAACTCTTTTCATCCAAATACATCATAAGGTAGCTGTGCGACGCTGTCGCACTAAAACCAGGGACGTAGATCTTGAACAATTAGTATATCATAAGGTTTTTTGGTCAGACATCAATCTAAAAAAAAAATGAAGGAATCATTCGTGCATACTATCATGAAACAGAATAATATTATTACGTTGTAATTTATCAATTTGATTTTGATTGTAGACAATTAAAAATTTAAGGTTGACAATAATTGTTAATGTGATTATTAATCTTTAAATATTGTCATGTCGGGATTACAATTTCGACAGAGTCAGGTTAGAGTTACTTTTTTGATCAGTTAGTATTATTATTTATATATAAATATCAAGAATACAATTTAGGGTTTCCCAAAAAAAGCAAGATTAAACATAAAATTTTATCATACGATTACTATATGCAATCAGAATCAAGATTTTGTGTACGAACGCAAAACTCGAATTGAACCATCCACTTCGTTCCACTACGTTCCTGGTATAGTATATTTATTTTGGAGGGTTTCGTATAAAAAATTTAGCAATGCCGAAATGTTTGCCGAAAATACATTTTTTCAAAAATAATTTAGGCACACATGTATATGTCCGTACTTTTCTGAAGGCGAAAGAGTAATGTGACCTGGCCGCAGTTACCCGAAAACGTGATCCAAGCCATATGACTCGGGACCCGAAATGCACATTGATCGACAAAAGCGAAGACTTTTAATAATGCTAATTCGGGTTTGGCTTGAGGCGAAGCTCAATTGAGAACAATAGTAATGCGTCTTTTGTATTCAAATGGTGAGAACTAAAGTCATAGTCATGTAAATGTGCATGAATTGCTTATCGTTCGTTAACCATAGATTTCCCCACCGATTCTCTAAATAGCCATATTACTTATAAAATATAAATCATTGATTTCATATAACTAAACGAACGGAGTGCATAGATAGATAAGTAAGAATTATAATAATAAAGATCTTCTAACCTGGAGATTCTAATGGCAGTAGTATCCTTGGTTTCGGATCAAATCTTCCACGCCCCGTCTTCACATTGGATATAAAATTGTATGGCTTTTGCAGCACATATTGTCTTTAGCGCTCTGTAAACTTAGCATGACTATCATTACCGTATTTGTATTATCATCAGAACAAGCTTTCTACTCTAACTCTAATAGTTCGTAGTTCATTGAATTGATCAAGAAAGTTATGAACATTTAAACTAATGCTTTGACAAATCAAATTACATGTTTAATAAATCAGCATAGATTTTTTAAAACGAGTCTAATACTTAAGCCAAACTATGATCAAATAATGAGTTTCAGAATTAAAATTGCGCGAGTCTGATTTTAATAAAAATAGATGTCACATTTATTTTCAAACAAGGAATATTTTTACATTCTAATAATTTTGAATTAATGGTCCTTATCATTAAAGATTTTGCTAGTTTTCATAAAATGGGATTCTTTTTAAAAAGAATTTCACGATTTAACATTGGATATAACGTTTAAATGTATAATTGTGCCATAAATAAATGTCCATAGTTTCTATTTTAGCGTTAGTAATATCTCATAAATGGGACATTAGTAAAAAAATTTGTACTTAAGTGAATTTGCATTATGCTCAATAGCAAACAAACTAATTATAACCGCACAAATGAAAATGTAAAACATATTCTAGTCAATTAAACCAACTACAATTTAATGACATCTATATAAATATTATAGTAGTTATAAAGCCGATTTAAATCGGAATATTTACACCAACAACAACAGTACTCTCAACAGGAATATCCCAATTACTATAGAATTTTCTTGAATTAAAATATATAAACATATATACATTAACTAAAATTTTTGTCCACCATGAAGAATCAGGTTTAGAATAAAGAGATTGTTGTCCTACAATGTATGTAACTAGATCGCTATCAGGATTAAAATCTTTGATTAAATTTTTGTTAGTAGGATCAATTTTTCGAATTGATTCTACTAATTGTAAAAGAAATTCTCTTCCTTGAGAGATTTGCTCTGAATAACCATATTTGACAGTTACTCGATAACAACCTTCGTAATTTTCGACTTTTCCCACTTTTAAGCGATCATTATCATCGACTTCTGAATCAGCCACAATTCGAATAGTGATAAAAATAACATTTTGAGGTATTATTGAAAAGTGTTTAACAAACCGTATGAAAGAAAGTGGAATAATAATGTCAATATCACTATAGAATAGGCTAATACCCGGTGAGCGTGTCAATTTGGTTTCAGTTTCTAATAAAAGAAGTTGTTATCATTTTGTAGAATATTGAGTTAGGTATTAAAGTATTAATGTTTATAATCTTACCAGTGGAAACATTCTCATTACCATTTCCCAAAATAGTCTTATTGTTTTCTGATTCAATCTCAGGAAATGTAGTTATCATAATATTATTATCAGCAGAAACATCTTTTTTTTCTTTAAAAACTTTACTGATATCAGGTGTTCGTGAACGTTCGTGGTGTATCACATGAGAAGTACCCCATTTCCATACGCACATTATAATGGTAAGAAATGCTGCAAAACTCAGGGTAACCCAACCACCAGATGCGACCTTTCTGAAAGTTGCACCCAAAAACAAAGCATCAATAGTGAAAAAAATGCAAAAGAATATAACTGAAATAATAATAGGACGACGCCAAACAACACGAATTACGATTGTTATGAGAATTGTTGTAATAAGCATCACAGATGAAACAGCTACGCCATAAGCAACCAACCTATTATAAAATCATAAAATGAATGAATAAATCAGAGGCATGAAAATATGAAATATAAATAAATTACATGTTTTGAGAATGTTTGAAGCCGATACAAACACATACGACTAAGACCATTAAGACGTAATTGACCTAATAAATAATTAAAATATAAAGGAATTTAGTCTTTCGAAATATAAATGATATACTGTAAAATATATTTATAATTACCTCTGGAATATAAATTTGACCTTCAACTTTTTTTGATGTATGAATAACCTTTTAATAAAATAAAAATGACATTTTAAATAACAATGACGAGAGTTATATA